GCTGAGTTTCTATTTGGCGTTATAAAATCAATCTTGGTAACCTCAAAAAATAAAATAAATGTGCTAACATATTTCCAGCATGTTCCACTCACTTTTGCTTTGGCTGTTTCTCAAAACACATCAGCAGCTTGTGACATGGGAAATGTTTGTTGTCTGCTGTGTGATCACTGCTTGGTTTGAAGGATTTCCTAAGCCATTCATGAGAGGTGTCTAGATGTCTGCTTGGACACGTTCAATGGGGTGGCCCTGCTGGAGATCACAGGACCGGCTAATAACTGCTCCTTTCTCTGAGAGGGGGCTGGATGGTTGGACTGCACAGCACCTGGACTTCTGTCACTTCTCCACACCTTTCTATCTCCTCATCACATTCAGCTGCACTTCTTGAAAGCTGTGTGTTTATGACTCTCCTTGACTTCCCGGTCCTTACCCCAAAAAGCTCCCTTAGTTTAGATCTACTGGCTTCTTGGTAGGTTAACTGGTTCTCAGGTGTTACTTATCCTTTGAGAAATTATCTCAAGAAATGAACGAAGAGGCATTTGCCTTTTCTGCTAGGCAAAGCATAGGGAAAACTAACAACTCCACCTACTGATGAAAAACACTTATCGAAACTGGTCATGTTTTAAACTGGGTATTCTCTTTTTTCACCTGATACTCTGAGCATATTATTTCACAGAGCACAGATGTTACTAGAAGAGAAATAAAAAACTTCATGATCAAATAAGTCTGGGAAATGCTGAATTAAATAAAATTGGAGAGTTTTCTTTCTTCCATGACTTTTTTAGATCCTTTGATCTGCTAATTGCACCAAGACAGTTACAATATGCAGCACTTTCCCCAAATTCTTTGCCCACCGAATTTTTGTTCAACACTTGCCCCATGGGAGATGTTCTACAAGTTACTTTGGGAAATGCTAGTCTAGACGTATAATACTAGGATTCAGTTTCTCTCAAAAAGAAAGAAAATCCTAGTGAAGGAGAAAGGGACAGGAAAGAAATGGAAGAAAGAATATAATTTTGCATGTACCTGGCAATAATTAAATGGAATTTCCTAAGGAGAAATAAGTCTCTCTGAAAAAGGGGCTGATTTTTCATATTTCTTCACTTTTCTGTGTTAGGAGCTCTTAATATAAAGCTCAAGAGGCAATGCCAACATTTGTAGCCCCTCTTCCAGAAGACCTTAGGTTGACCCTTAGGGCCACAGAAGGGCCAGGGCTGGAGGAGCCATGGAAGGGAATCAGGAATTCCTGGAAAAGATCTTTCCCCTTTAAGATAGTCTGGCCAGAATGGGCGCCTTGTGGGCAATTAGGTTAAATACCATCCAAATCAGCCTATTATTAAGACTCTCATGTTATCACACACCAATAAGGCTGTCTTTTT